GCATATTGTGTAAGTTTGTGAGAGAGAGAGAGAGGCAGAAGCAAAGAGGAACAACTATTCAGATAGCTGGTCCTTGATCTCCTAGAAAGACAAGTGCATAACAATATAAATGCGATCAAGAACACAAAATTTAGCACACAGATGCAATGACACAACAATTTGATGTGGTTTACTCAAATTCACACAAGGATAGCTACAAATGCAAAACGATAGAAATGCGATCATGAACACAAAACTAAACAACACACACCCGCAATAAGGATTTGACATGATTCACTCAATTTTGTAGCAACAACTATAAGTGCAAGACAATATAAACACGATAGAGAACACAAAAGCTTACAATTACGAAAACAACGACACAAGAATTTTATGTGGTTCACTCAAATTCTAACAACTACAATCAAGTGCAATATGATATAAACACGATTGAGAACACAACTTAAGCAATCAAACACAACTAGTACTAAATTAAAGAAAAAGTGCAAACCCATATGAACACAAACAGAAAAGTAAACAATGGCACGCGATGACACAATAATTTAACGCGGTTCACTCATTTCATAACAAAAGCTACAAGAAATCAAACTTAATTATTCATGAAGGCAATTTCTTCTTCACTTTGTGGTCTTTGAATGCCCGATAGAGAAGGATAATTAAACTTTGAGCTCAAGGGCTATGATCTCTCATTGCCCCAATCCGAAATGAAAACCAAAGCATAGGGGTCCTGCAATCCTCCATTGACAGAACCAACTAGCTTTCTCACTATCCTAATTAAATCAAGTACAAAATATTTGTGCACTTAAGAAAATTTAACTAAATTAAAAATAAACGGACGAAAAAAAATATTATTTCGTGAGCATAGGATTAAGGAAATGATCTTTAACTTTTCCATGCACTATTAGGGTAAATTTATTTTCCCTATGGCCAAAGAACTTCATTACTTAAATATAATGTCCAGATAATTACTTTAAGTAAAAGTTAATTTTGTATTTTTCACTTTTCACTCTGCAAGTAGCAGAAACAACAGTACAAACACAGAGAGTGGGAGAGAGAGTTACCATATTTGAAAGCTTGGAGGAGAGGGGGAGTGATAGCGCATGAGATGGCCGTGGCATACATGCATTGGGCAAAAAAGGAGTTTACATAGGGAGGGTTTCCGACTCGTGAAGAACAATTAACTGAATGTTTCACCATTTTTTTTGTGAATTTTTTATTTTATTTGAAAATTTAATGGGAGAGGGCAATTTTGGCATTTTCAAATGTTTCACCTATTTGGGTTCTCACACGTGTAGGGTATTTTGGTATTTTCAAATGCTTTACTTTATATGTATAAAAGACTAGCCTCTTACCACATGCGTAGATTAGCCCTTTGCCACACGTGTACGCGTGTGGCAATTAGCACTTTTGATTTTTTACTTGAAAAAAACAAAAAACAGAAAAACAAATAATAATATATTTAAAAAATGAAAATAAAGTTAGGTAGGTAGTGGGGTTGTTTTGTGAATTTCTTATTTTATTTGAAAATTTAATGGGAGAGGGCAAATTCGGAATTATGAATGTTTCACTATTTTTGCATTCTTCCTTTATATAGGTAGATAGTCGATTACTATTTGGTTTTTTTTTTTTTTCATCAGCACATTTGGTTTTTTTTTCTTTTCCGTTTTTGTGCTAAAAAATATTAGAGATAGTCGATTACTAAGGACTTATTTGGAAGTGCTTTCAAAATGACTAAAAACGTTTTGGTGAAATTGATTTTAGAAGAAGCAACAGATATATGCTTCTTGCAAGAAGCACTTAAATGCTTCTTCAACATCCATTGGATTTTTTTTACTGAGAACTGGTTTAAAAAATATTTCATCAAAAACACTTTTAGTCATTGTAAAAGCACTTCCAAATAAAATCCTCTCTACATTAAGGGAGAAATTAGATCGTTAAAGAATATCGCAATGTTAAAGAATCAGATTAGTCAATAACATGTTTACTTATTTACAAAAAGACTCAAATTAAGAAAGCGGCAAAAGCAGAAATATGAGTTGCATCAACTACTTTCCCTAATTAATTTAATTTGTCGATATCTTGTATTAACAAACATAAAGGAAATTAGGAATCGTAAAAAGTTTAATACTCATGACAACAGGAGTAAAAACTAAACATATACTTAAGTCAAGAATCATAACAAAATGATCCAATTAATGGGATGCTAATGACCTTCTAATTCTATTTTTTCGATTCTCCATTTTCATCTTGCTGTAACAGATGTGCTAACAATCTTCTAATTCTATTTTTTTTATCCTTCATTTTCATCTTGCTATAATAAAGATGCTAACGACCTTCTAATTCTATTTTCTCAATTCTCCTTCCTTTTTTCATATTAATTGTGGATGCAAATTTCTGACTTCTTATTCTTGGACGAAATTGCACCTACAAAACAATTAACACTTTAAGTCAAGGCTAAAAGCCTCACGTGCCCACGATGAATTGGATGGGGGGGGGTGGGGGGTAGGTGGCGGCTTTGGCCGAAAAACCTCTGATGCCAAAGTTAGAATTTGAAGGATAAGTGTTTAGAGAAATTTGGAGAATTTTGCAAGAGAGTTGGAATTAGGTTTTTGGAGAAATGAGGTGGTATTTATAGGGGTGTGGCTAACCCCTATTTGGAGAAAAGGGGTCTGGCCACTTATGGTGATTTTTGGATGTAATTGAAAGATATTATGTCAAAATAATATCTTGCAATCAATTAGGAAATTAATCAATTAGTTTAGGTAATTAATCCCATTTTGAATGAATAATTGAAGGTTACCTTGTGGGTAGGATTTGATGAGGATGGATGAAATAAGTTTTGAATAAATACATATTTTGATAACTTTTGACCTTGTTTGAGTCGTGATTGTCCGCTGCTTGCGTGTAAGAGTTCCAGTGTCCCTCGAGGGTAATTTTGTCTTTTTTGCCCAAGAATCCATGTGTCGCCTCCATATTTTTCTCAATTATTTTTGGCTCCACAAATGCCCCCACACATTTTGGGCTGCTCGCAGGAAAGGGCAGCATGTGTAGAGATCTTGGAGTCGAGATGGTTGGATTGGTCTTGGACCGTTTTGGGTTGCTTGGAAGGTCACAGGAATGGGCTACTCGGCGTGCAGCGCACATGGGTGCAAGGCTAGGGATCAGCTTGGCAACCTGTTGGGCTCGTGTTAGGCTTGAGTGGCTCAAGCCTGTGTGGGCTTAAATGGCACTGCTTAGGCCGTGGTTGTGGCATAGTGGACTTTGCCGACAGTGGCTTCCATGGTGGCCACCGAGGTGGTTGCCACGGTGGTGCCCCGTGGGGGTGGTGCTGCTACATTGATCGTCGTGTTGAGCTTTGTGGATCGTCGTGGTCCTAATTCTTGAACGTTGGAATTTTCATTCGTTAAGGTTTTCAAATTTCTCGTCATTGTACTCTTCTTTTACGTTTATTCGAAGAATTTTTAAGAAAAAAAATTCTAGGAACAAAAACGTATGAAAAATCTACAAATGAACAAGAAAACGAAAAACCTTGAATGCAAGAATCTTTTGCGAGTGTGTGACTCAAGCTCTTAATGAAAGCACCAATTTGTGGATACAAATTTCCGTCTTCTTCTTCTTGGACGGAATTGCACTTGCAAAACAATTAACACATTAGGTCAAGGCCAAAAGCCTCATGCGCCCACGATGAATGGGAGGGGCTTTAGCCGAAGAATCTCCAATGCCAAAGTTAGAATTTGAGGGAAAGGTGTTTAGAGAAATTTGGAGAATTTTGCATGAGAGTTGGAATTAGGTTTTTGGAGAAATGAAGTGGTATTTATAAGGGTGTGGCCGGCCCCTATTTGGAGAAAAAGGGGTCCGACCACTTATGGTGGTTTTTGCATGTAATTGCAAGAAATAAGTCAAAATAATATCTTGTAATCAATTAGAAAATTAATTAATCAATTAATTTAGGTAATTAATTCTATTTTGAATGAATAATTGAAGGTTACCTTGTGGGGATAATTTGATGAAGATTGATGAAATAAGTTTTGAATAAATAACTATTTTGATTACTTTTGACCTTGATTGAGTTGTGATTATCCACTGCTTACGCGTAGGAGTTCTGATGTCCCTCGAAGATGATTGTATCTTTTTTACCCAAGAATCCATTTGTTACCTCAATACTTTTCTCGATTATTTTTTTCTCCACATTAATTGTAAGACGCTCCAAACTCTCTTCTAGACAAGATATTTTTCAATGTGACCGGTACACAGGGTGATACATCACGCGTCACTAAACAAATGGTGGGATATGTGTGATAAAAAGTTAATAACTTAAAAAATAGAATTTCCCACCATTCCTATTAAAACATGTGGTGTACCACTTGTATTCCCATCACAACTAAAAATTTCTCCTTCTAGACGAGTCACGTCACTATTAAGGGTGCATGCGCATCCTCCACGCCTTCAAATTATTGTTTAATAAGCTCCTTCCCAAAAAACAAAATAGTTGCTGATGTAGTGTAATTAAAGCTTATAAACGGCTGAAATACGTCAGCATACAGATATATGGTACCAAGTCATAAAAGGCAACAGGAAAGTTTGTGGACGGATTTGAGTCGGCAAAACAACGCAAGAAAGTGCTGCTTTGAGTAGCCATGGAGGTTACTGGCAGGCTTGGAAGAATTGAGCAAGAAATAGGGCAGGTGGAAGATGAGAAGCTCCAACACGAGCAAAATCTAGGTGCGTTCTGGGAACATATGCCTGCCATCGATCCATTTCTCATACGAGATCGTATGCTTTTTCACCAGAATCAAATACACTCCCTCGAAAACAAGAAGAGCTCCCTGCTCGAAGAACAACGAGATCTTCTCGTGCAGGCTGTCACGCTCGGCGACAAAGTTTAAACTGTCAGGGAATGAGCAACGACAAGTGGAGGGTAGACGAGCTTAAACTGTCAGGAAATGAGCAACGACACGTACGTGTAGCCCTACTCTACACCCTGAACTGAAGACCACAGATCCAGCTTTAATATATCAAGCTTATGTAACATCTTATTTGCTTATGCATATCATGAAATGTATGGGTTCCGTTCATTTTGTTTACATCTCAATCTCGATTTCATTGTCCACGTATATATCGAATGTCGACTCAATATTACATAACCAGAATAGTACTGAGGCTGCAGTTCCAGTTCCTCTAAGGACGGAGAGAAACCTACTTACAACGGGAGTCATTGTGACGCTATTCTAACACAATCACACACACTTATGGTGATCAGGGGCATGGCAATGCGTGGTTTTCTTGGTATTTCGCTACAATGGCATCCGTTGCAGAAAAGTTGTCCTTGGGATGCAATCATTTGGGAAGACATTGGATTGGATCACTTGGTCCAAGATTATCGATCGGAGGCCGTTGCTTGTGGTGATTGGTGACGGATTGGAAAGCCATAGCTAGTGCTAGAGCCTGCATATGACCAAAAAAAATGTTATCAAATAGTTAAGGACACATTTGATCATTTTGTTTTTAGATTTTAGTTGATTCGAGCTTACAATATGGTCACGCTCAGGAGGAGCATAAATGCCGGTGGTGATCGTGGTTCTTCTTCGAGTATGGTTGCTATGAGGTGGATTTGATATGCTTTTAAACCCTGTTGGAACAACAATTACAGGTATACCAACAAGATTTCCCAAACAAACTCTCTCCCAATCAGTTGCATTGCCAATGAACGCATCCACGGTAAAACTTTCTTTTACTTCGCGGATTAACATCCCCCTTGCTCTTTGAGCTTGTACATAATCAACTGCAGGAATTACACGTGCACGGCGGAGTTCAGTAGGCCATTGTTCTTGAGCTTCGTAAACATCATCATGGCGGGAGCGTTGCCATTCATCAAAGTGAGCCAACATGTCGACGTCCATGGTAAAATTTAGGATGCCTTGAACAGAATCAACTGTGTAGTTAAGCTTGAAAGGGATCATTTTTACACCTTCTGATGCAAGAATATGAACAACCTGTAAAACGCTCTCCATTTTAAGCTCCACATAAAATAGTTGAAAAAACAGGAGCTGATAACGGATACATTATGTTAAGGCTAGCGATTTTGGTAGTCCTTATTTCTCCACCCGCACTTCTAACTGAATGTTTTACAATTTTTTGCACTTACAGGTGAAATGCAGGAAGTTAAACGAGGAGTGTTAAAATCGCTAGCCTAATGTTAATAATTGAGGGTTAGGGGCCGGTCTATTGTTAAAATCCAACTAAGTTTACTGACCTCCATCTCAGCATCTTCTAAATATCCAACTGTAAGTTTTTTAATGTCAACCGAAAACGGATCGCCAAGAGGAATGTCTCTCGACGAAAGATCATCTGGGTCCTTTCCTCTAATGGCATCCAGAACAATGGCACAGTCTGCAGCGCTTCGACAGAAAGGTCCAAGCTTGTCCTGTTAAATACATAAGAGCTATAATTTCCACAATTTATCTTTACTGCATCACAGAAGGACATGAAGAAAGAAGATTAAAGTACCAAGCTTTCCGATATGCTCATTACACCAGTTCGCCCAGTAGTGCCAAACGTTGGGCGCAATGCTGTCACGCCACAGCGTGCAGCAGGGTAGGTCACAGATCCAGCTGTTTCTGATCCGATTGCGAATGGAACCATACCTGTGAAGGATCTCTTGTTATTCTCTCATATTTTGAAAGGCTCGTGAATTTAGTATATATACAATTTTGAAGTGCAGATTATTAAAAATATGGTGCGAAAATCACCACTCTTTCAAGAATGAGTTAACTCAGCTAAGCAAAGACCCTTAATAAAGTAGAAGTGCATAAGGAATGAACGAAAATTCCGAGGGCAGAAAGTTTGAGCTGTACCTGCTGAAGTGCAGGCGGCAGGGCCGGCTGATGAACCTGTGGAGAACTCCTCGATATTCCAAGGGTTCCTTGTTCGACCACCAAACCAGATGTCATCATATGCAAGTGATCCGGAAACAAGCTTCGCGACGAGAACTGCCCCTGCAGCCTTCAGCCTATATTCAGCAGAGACCAACCAATAAGCAAAATGCAATTTAAGTTACTGCAATCTACAATGCTCATACTTCTTCACAACCTCTTGTAAACCCAAGCTTCAATGTCAAGAACTTGATTTTTGAAACTACCGGAACCCCACGTTGTTTTGTAGTGCGGTACTGCAATTATATCCTTCAATCCATAAGGAATCCCATGCAGAGGACCTGCAAAGAAAGCAATTGTAAACTCTCTACTCTTGTACAAGGACATTTGTGTGGACAAAATAGGCGATGCCCCGAAGGTGGGAACACGCCTTATCTAAATTAACTTTAACGAAAGAAAAATACTCGGCTCCTCACAGACAATATCACAGTTTGATACATGTATAGAAACTTTTCGTTTAGCTGTTTTTGTAAGTTACTTCAGTAACTATAAGGAACCGAGTAGCGTTCCTTACCAAACTATCCGGAGTACAAGCATTTGAGGTCTAACAAGAAAAGTATATACCCAAATACACTCCTTTGGCAAGCAATTGATCAGCCTCTTTTGCTTGCTTGTATGCTAACTCTTCTGTATATGTCACCACAGCCTCAAGAACATGATTGTACCTAATTTTCCGACGATGAATTGTTAAAATGACAGGTCCTGAATACTATAACAAAGCAAGTGTTTTTAGAGCTGATCTGTTACCTTTTAAGTCTTTTCAGAAAAATTCTCGTAAGCTCCTTCGACGTAATTTGCTTTGTTCTAATGAGCTCTCCTAATTCAAGAACCTGAAAACACTCACAAAGTTACAGATGCGTTTTAGTGTCTATGCAAAAATGGCGCTATCTCAAGTCAATCATTCACTGCCATATGTGACGAAAGTTAAAACGCACGGCAGTGTGTGGTTAGGTTGGGATACCGCCATTGTGACAGCCCAATAGCAAAAGACTTACACTCATAAAGGCGATATCTTCTTCACTTCTCGGTTTTTTGATGCCGGAAAGAGAAGGATAATTGAACTTTTTAGTGGCATGCTGAGACTGTTCCCTGCCCCATCCAGAATTGAATACCAAATAAGACGGGTTACGCAAACCTCCATCCTCAGAAGCAACTAATTTTCTATTAGCTGTGATTATGGGGAGGTTAAACTCCTTTTGACCCCTCACAATCTCCAGCATCTAAAATTGTATAGAAAAAATGGTTTAAACGTAATGATTAAGATAACTAATCTAAAATTCTACTAATCCATAAAATGCACCAGAAGTGATTACCTTTGTGTTATTCAAGAATTTGGTGTCAAACAACTCAAATGCGCATTTGAGGGGGCAAGGTTGACCAACTCTCGTCCAACACACACCATCCTTGTGATCACTCTCCTAATCGAATGAAATAAAAAAATATCCCAATTAAACATGCATATGAATACGAACGTTGAGAATCTGGTCCCCGCGTTGTGCAAATCACAATTTGATATATGTGCCAAAGTAATGTCGGAAACACAAAAAGAAAACTTAAGAACACAAGAAAAGATAGCATTCATTTTCGCCCACCATCCTTAAGTGGCGATCACCACCGCGTTAATATAATAACCGCGAAATGAGTTTAAATTCAAGATTTGTGTTGCATTAATAGTGATGGTACCGGTCACCGCCAAGTATTTACGATGAATATCTACGGTTTAAGAGAGAGAGAGAGTTACCATATTTTTAACATCTGAAGTAGCTACAGGGCGGCAGCAACAGATGAGAACTACAAACACGACGACGGCGATGATGCCACTGTGGGGCCACCACCCCCTAACTGATGGAAGAAACTTGTTCTTGAGCATCATGGTTTAGTGTCTCTTTCCTAGCTTGCCGTGATATCGTTTTTCTAGGCTCAAATTTGCAGGCAGAGCGGACGGCGACGGCCGGTCTATCACTCTGGTGCTGTGCCTGCGCACATGCTGTGCTGACTTTGTATAAGATGAAGATGCTGACTAACCGCTCCCTCTTCAATGTTCAAACAAAAAGAATGAATAGTCGTAGAATTGCACTTTACACCACAATATTTTAGGTCATTTAAAAAATGAGTTACGGGGTTTCAATTTTTGCATTTTACACCACGTAATTTCACCAGTTTAACATTTCTCAGTATCACTATCTAATTAAACATCCAAGTACTATGTAACGTAGATTTGATTCATATTTAAGACATTGACTATTAATTTTATAAAAGCATTAAAAGAGTAAAGTACAAAAACATTAAAATTAACAGTGAAAGAGTGTTAAAATCAAGGCCTGGTCTATGTCAATTAGACATAAAATTAGAGAAAATGTTAAGTTAGTACAATTCAAAAATCATGTAGTGTAAAATGCAAAAATCAAAACTTCGTGGATCATTTTACAAATGACCACCAAACTTGTGGTGTAAAATGAAGTCAACCCAAGAATATTTCAAGGTTGCCGTCGGATTTAAACCATCTATGGCATATTTTTTGAAGGACTAAGCCATATTTTTTTAAAGGTTAAGGACTAAACAAAGATTGAAAATGCACAAAAGATGAGGGCTTTACCCTGTTTATTCTTTTAGCCACTACAGAAAAACATGTGGCTGTTGAAGAAGTTTGCCTACACCGAGAATATTATTATATAATTTGTATTTTAAATCAATTATGTATTGTTGTATGAGTTCAGTCTACTATTTTTAAATAACGTATTTTTTTTTTGGAGAAATTTTATAATTGGAACCATTTAATTTCTTAATCTTCAATATAAGATCATTCTTACAAAAGATTAATTCAAAATAGGGTTCGTTAAGTCATTCAAATTGATCATATACATCAATGGTGTAAGTACTAAGTAACATATTCATGAAAAACCGTTCATTTATTTGATTAACTTGAATGAATGAACGAACTCAATTCGAATGATTTCTTGTAAGAATGATCTTATATATAAAGATAAAGAAAAAAAGATTATGTTTATAAATTTATATGGAGAACATTTTGAGATCATATCTTATAATATCCTTAAATTTCATTATAAGATAATTTCTTACAAAAACATTTTAATTATAGTTCGTTTGGTCATTTAAATTTATCATATACATTAATGACCAAATGAACTTCACTTCGAATAATTTTTTTGTTTGTAAGAATGATCTTCTAATAAAGATTATGAAGTTAAACGGTTTTGATTATGAAATTGAACATGTCATTATGATACATGTATTTGTTTTTGTATTAATATCATAAATAATACAATAAGTTAGTTGTGCTTCGATATTCATAAAGTAAAGTGTTATTCATACATTCTTGTTCTTTCTTTGCCATAAAACTCTCTAATTTATTTGATTTGACAGTTAATCAGGGTTGTTTTACGATTTTTTTTACTTTTTTTTTGGCACATATTGATATTGGATTGTGATTTCGAATGTGGGAATCTCTTCCAAAAGGAAGAAGCCAATCCAATGTCCAATAAGCATTTTAACCTTAGCTTTGTTTTCAAGTCAAATAAAGAGAAAGGTTTCTCTCCCTACATAAATCAAAAGGCCAGTGAAAGGTAAAGGATTCCCTGAAGAATGTTCATTTATTTGATAAACTTGAATGAATAAACAACTTTCGATTCGAATGATTTTTATTTTATTTTTATGAGAATGATATTATAATAAATATTAAGAAATTGACGGTTTTGTTTATGAAATTTATACGGGGAATAGAGACAGATCCATTCAGGGACCTGGTGGGTCCCGAGACCCTCTGAAAGTTTGAAGAAGCGGCTGTGAGGACCTTCGAGTACCACCCCACAGTCTAGGCATGTGGTAGAGGAGAGGTATGCAACGGCAGCTACAGGCTATGTAGACTGCAGATAGATAATGAAGAAGAAGAAGTTTGTTTTATTTTTAATTGATTTGGCCAAACGACGTAGTTTTGCGCCAAGACAATTAAAAGAACATGTTCTCTCTTTAAAAAAGCCACGTGACCCTCTCTTTTAATATAATTCCAATCATTTTCTATATAGACCCCCTAAAGGTAATTCCCAATTTTTAGTAAGGTTGTTTAGCTATGACAACTTTCACACTGTGCATTGGGAAAATAGGGAATAGGATCCTCTCCTGAGCAAATGCTCGGGATCCTCATGACCAACCAACACGGGGTGTTAGATTTTGATCCAACGGCTACAATTATTATAACTTTTAGAAGGGCCCCCTATTTGTAACCGTTGGATCAAAATCCAACAGCCCGTGTTGATTGGTCATGAGGATCATGAGCATTTGCTCGAGAGAGGATCCTATTCCGGAAAATAGGGTGGGTAAATGGGGGTGCATCGGTGCATGGTTAAATAAACATGGACGATAATAAGCTTCTTTCTTTGGATAAATCTCTAATGTTTCCCCCAGTTAAAGTTTGACATGTAGAATAGTTTTTTTATGTAACTGAAACACGTCAAGAGACTATATAATTCTACTCAAATTATAACATATGTATTTATTTTTGAATTACTATATTCTAGTCATATGATATATTAAGAGTATCGTCCATCATTATTATCACAAATGGTACAACACGTGAATTGTGTTACAATATTCATAAAAGTACTATTTTCTTTTGTTAAACAATAAAATGTCCCTTGACATGTGTGTACATCGTTTTTGTGTGCATTTTTTTATGAGTTTTTTTTTTTGCACATGTTAGATGGATATTTAAATCGAATTTTACAATTCATATAATGTGAATGTTGATAATTGAATTATTATTTAAGTAATGGTGTATAAAATTCATATAATGTGAATGTTGATAATTGAATTATTATTTAAGTAATGGTGTAGCCACCCACAAGGCTAAGGTGAGTTGTAGCCCAAGGAGGTTTTCTATAAGGGTAGTGCTATTTATACACTCATTTTTACTTCTTACACACCTTTCTTAATTGCTGGTTGTTCGGATCGAATGAATTGAAGATGATCACTACAAAATATTAATAAGGCTATGTTAAAAGTAAAATGGGTTTGTGAATAGATCTATTCTTTTGTAAACTCATGCTTATAGCCTACTTAATTTGAATACAGATTATTATTTAATGTATATTTAGTAGAGGAGAGATAGTAAATAATACGTTTTCTGCTAAAAATGATAAATTAGTTCTATCTCCAGTCGTCCTTTATTCTATTCTTTAAAGAAAAAGACCATTTACTCTATGTAATTTAGCTTCTGTGCTTCTTACTCAAGAAAAGATTAATAAAGTTCTTCTAATACACAATTAAATCTCTATCTCCGCAATTCTTGACTTTCCGGTGCAATTTTCCAATGAAGGTCACCTTTGGTACGTTCTTAAGCCCTTTATTTACTTATTCTTGATTTAATTAGTAGGTTAATTATTTATATGGTCCTTGAATTTATTGGTTAGGATTATGATTTTGAGAATAGTTTATATTATATTGTTGTTCTTTTATATTGATTATTATATAATTTTTTAGTTAATTTATATATAAGCCCACCTTGAATCCAACATCGCACGAGACCTATAATTTTAGCACGAGGCCTTTTGGGAGCTCACTGCTTGGGTCCATGGAACTCCGAATCGGAAGGGGGCTAAACAATCCCATGATCCTGAAGTTGCTCGCAAAAAAAAACCGTGAGGGGTAGTATTCTATGGTGGTGGAGCGGCCCGGGAGGTCGCCCGGGCCGATTGACACACCAGAAAAAAATCCGTATTTGCATAACAACGTACACAAATACATACACAATTCATAAATTTGATCTGAAAAATTAATCTGCCTAGCATTTATTCGTATTAAATTGTAATTTCGAAGAAGGTAGGATTCTCTTCCAAATGAAGAAGCCAATCCAGTGTCCAATAAAAGCACTTTCCCCTTTCACTTGAGCTTTGGATCCAATAAAATCACTTTCCCCTTTACCTTTAGCTTCGTTTTGAAGTCAACAGAATAGTTCATCCTTTTTTTATTCCGTTGTTTTGAAGAGAGAGGTTTCTCTCTAGTGGCAACAGCAATCAAAAGCGAGTCCAAGGTGAAGGCTTCTCTGCCAAGCATTCATCGCTGGCAACAGCAATTACAGCCAGAGCCAGGTATATCTCTCCTCTTGCTTTCTCTCTACAATTTTTCTGTCCAAATTTCTCTGAAAAATTTAGGGTTTTGGTTTGCAATCTTGGATTAGATTTGTAGATATTCCAATGCATCTCAGTTTTCTCTGATTCCATAGCAAAATCTGGCTCTTGGTACTCTAAATTTGCTTTCTTTGCTTTAAGACTGTATTTTTATTGGTTTTTGTATAAACCCATCTGAAATTTTCTTAGAAATTGGATGTATTTTGTATGTTAAATGCTTTTGGAATCCTTTTGATGTTGCTATTTTTGTGTTTGGTGTCAGAAGCTTTGGTTCCATCTGCTAGAAACTTGCGGTACTGGATTATAATCGCAGGGGTTCTAATTGGCTCTGGTACACATCTTGCTATCATTCTGAATTTACTTTTCTATAGGAACTAAGAAAGTATTAGTTATCCTTGAGTTGAATGTGCTAAGTTGGTGAGTTTTAGCGCAACGGAAAACTCATATATTGGCTGAGTTAGAGATCGTTTGGAAGTGCTTTTAAAATGACTGAAAATGCTTTTAGAGAAAATGTTTTTTGGTTCCAGAAGCACTAGATTTACTTGTATTTTTACTAAGGATTGATTCCAAAAACATTTTCATCAAAAGAGCTTTTAGCCATTTTGAAAGCATTCCCAAATGAATTTGCTTGTTTTGTTGTTTTGAAGCCAGGCATCTACTTAGACAAATTTGCTTGACTTTATTTAGGAGCATTGAAGTTTGCCATCTCAATTCGTGGTGATGAGAAGTTTGTGATTGATATACTCATTGTTTTTAATTGTCAATAAAGTTTTAATTCTTTGATTCACAAGGGCACTATGTTGATTCTGCATGTTATAGCGTCAGCAAATTCTTATACGTTAATTGAATATTGCCTGCAGAAAAACATTTGAATGTATCT